AAAACCTTCACGTTGTGCTCGCTTTTGACAAGGTGCACAATCCCTTGCGCCTGCTGTTCGCAAAACGACATTTGAAGGTGCAAAAGTGGTCCGAACATGAAGTGTTTTTAACACTTTGACCTCGAAATGTGCTTCGCGCCAAAACGGCGTGCACTTTTTCGACATCTCAACTTCCAAAAGTGGTCCGAACATGTAGTGTCTTGTTCATTTTGACTTGGAAATGTGCTTCGCGCCACAACGGCGTGCACTTTTTCGACATCGCAACTTCTAAAAGTGCTCCGAAGCTGAAGTGCTTTGTACATTTTGACTTGGAAATGTGCTTCGCGCCACAACGGCGTGCACTTTTCCGACATCGCAACTTCTAAAAGTGCTCCGAAGCTGAAGTGTTTTGTACATTTTGACTTGGAAATGTGCTGCGCGCCACAACGGCGTGCACTTTTCCGACATCGCAACTTCTAAAAGTGCTCCGAAGCTGAAGTGTTTTGTACATTTTGACTTGGAAATGTGCTTCGCGCCACAACGGCGTGCACTTTTTCGACATCGCAACTTCTAAAAGTGCTCCGAAGCTGAGCGCCACAACGGCGTGCAATTTTTAATCTCTCATCTGGCCAGCTGGCTCCGCACCCGCCGCTTTACCAAGCCTACTTTTCAACCCTCCGGAGCCACAAACCATTGGAAAAACGCAGTGTTTGGCGCGTGAAAAGGTAGGAACCGCATCTTCTGTCTTCTGACTCTTTCTCTTTTCTGATCTTAGTTGTTGCTGTTGCTGTTGCTGTTGCTGTTGCTGTTGGTGTTCTTGTTGTTGTTGTTGTTGTTGTTGTTGTTGTTGTTGTGGTTGTGGTTGTTGTTGTGGTTGTTGTTGTTGTGGTTGTGGTTGTGGTGGTTGTGGTGGTGGTTGTGGTTGTGGTTGTGGTTGTGGTTGTGTTGTGGTTGTGGTTGTGGTTGTGGTTGTGGTTGTGGTTGTGGTGGTTGTTGTTGTTGTTGTTGGTGGTGGTTGTTGTTTGTTGTTTGTTGTTTGTTGTTGTTGTTGTTGTTGTTGGTTGTTGTTGTTGTTGTTGTTTGTTGTTGTTGTTGTTGTTGTTGTTGTTGTTGGTTGTTGTTGTTGTTGTTGTTGTTGTTGTTGTTCCTGTTCCCCACATCTTTGTGTGGGGTTTTCGTTTTTGGTTGTGCACTTCCGCCTTCCCGCCCGCCCGCCGCCCGCCTGTTGACACACCACTTGCAATCACACGACTTACTCACACACAACTTGTCACCACACCACTTGCTCACACGCAACTCATCACACGACTTACTCACACACAACTTGTCACCACACCACTTGCTCACACGCAACTTGTCATCACACGACTTACTCACACACAACTTGTCACCACACCACTTTCTCACACGCAACTTGTTATCACACGACTTACTCTCACACACACAACTTGTCACCACACCACTTGCTCACATGCAACTTGTCATCACACGACTTACTCACACAACTTGACTGGCTCTGGTGGCGCGCTCGGGTCCCAGTTGACGCCATGGACGCCGCGGCTCTTTGCGTGGCAGGCGTGGCACTTGGCGACATCGACCGTCACTTTGCGTGGCAGGCGTGGCGCTTGGCGACATCGACCTTCACTTTGCGTGGCAGGCGTGGCTTTGGTGACATCGACCTTCACTTTGCGTGGCAGGCGTGGCACTTATGGCACTGGGCTGGCTCTGGCGGCGCGCTTGGGTACTTTGGTCGCCGCGGCTGTTTGCATGGCAGGCGTGGCGCTTGGTGACATCGACCTTCACTTTGCGTGGCAGGCGTGGCACTTGTGGCACTGGACTGGCTCTGGTGGCAGACAAAACTCTTCCACGCAATTTTGTCACAGATTCCTTTCACACACAACTTTGTCACACAAGCCTTTCACACACAACTTTGTCACACACAACTCTTTCACACACAACTTTGTCACACACAACTCTTTCACACACAACTCTTTCACACACAACTTTGTCACATACATCTCTTTCACACACAATCTTGTACACAACTTTGTCACATACAACTCTTTCACACACACAACACTTTTACATACACAAACTTACACACACAACACTGTCACACACAGCTCTTTTACCCAACCTGTCTTGCACCATCTCCTTTCCCATCTCATTTTCACATCTGCTTGTGGTCATTGGAAGAAGTTGATTTGTGGGGTTATCCGGTCCTTTAATTGTTGTTGTTGTTGTTGTTGTGGTGTGGTGCAATGAGTGTAGCGTAATGTAATGTAGTGTAGTGTGCTGTAGTGTAGTCCAGTGCAGTGTAGTTTAGTGTAGTGTAGTCTAGGTGTAGTTGTAGCTGTACGTAGTGTAGCCTAGCGTAACATAATGTAGTGGAATTAGGGTATTGTAGTGTAATGTAGTTGTAGTTGTAGTTGCACTTGTTGTTGCAGTTGGACCACGGCCCCTAGTTGGCCGTGTCGTTTTCTTCTTGTTTCGGCATGGTTCATGTTTCCATGTACACCTCCACACTTGTCATATCCTACGCTGCTGGCTTTTACTTGTGTCGGCTCTTCTACGTTACTTATCTCTTCTTGGGTGGGGTGGGTTGGGGGGGTGGGGTGCGATGTTAACGTCCATGTACACGTCCACACTTGTCACATGCTACGCTACTGGTTTTTACTTGTGTCAGCTCTTCTACTTTACTTATCTCTTCTTGGGGTGGGTGGGTTGGGGGGCTGGGGTGGGTTTCACGTGCATATACACGTCCACACTTGTCACATGCTATGCTACTGGCTTTTACTTGTCTGCTCTTCGACGTTACTTTATCTCTTCTTGGGGTGGGGTGGGATGTTGGCGTTCATGTACACTTCCACACTTGTCACATGCTACGCTACTAGCTTTTACTTGTGTCTGCTCTTCTACGTTACTTATCTCTTCTTGGGGTGGGGTGGGTGGGGTGTTGGGGGGGGATGCTAACGTTCATATACACTTCCAGACTTGTCACATGAAGTCATGGAAGAAAACAGGAAAAGTGTCAGGCAGATGATGTGCCCACTAGTTTTTAGAAATTTCAAAGCCCAAATTTTGACAAGGAAAATATCAAAATCGATACGGCACCACAAGGCCACGAACATTTTCAAGAAAGCAGAATGCGGTTTGTGCCGCGGCTGTCTGAGGGTCGTGCGCCTAGTTGTGGTTGTACTTGTAGTTGTACTTGTAGTTGTAGTGTAGGGTAAGTAGTGTAGTGTTGTGTAATGTCGCGAGGTTGTAGTTGTAGTTGTAGTTGTAGCTGTAGCTGTAGCTGTAGTTGTAGTTGTAGTTGCAGTTGTAGTTGTAGTGTAGGGTAATTAGTGTAGCGTAGTGTTGTGTAATGTAGCGTGGTTGTAGTTGTAGTTGTGGTTGTGGTTGTGGTTGTGGTTGTGGTTGTGTTTGTAGTTGTAGTTGTAGTCTAGTGTAGTGTAGTGTATTGTAGTGTAGTTGTGTAATGTAATTAGTGTAGTGTAGTGTAGCGTAGTTGTAGTCGTAGCTGTAGCTGTAGTAGAAATAGCAGTTGTAGTTGCAGTTATAGTTGTAGTGCAAATGGTGCAGTGTAGTGTAATTAGTGTACTGTAGCGTAGCATATTTGGATTTGCATTTGCATTTGTAGTTGTAGTGGTAGTGTAGGTTGTAGTTGTAGATGTAGTTGTAGTTGTCTATCTATCCGTCCATCCATCCATCCATCCATCCATCAATGTGTCTATCTGCAAGTTTGAAAACGAAGCTATTCTGCGAGACTTCCTCAATTTTCGAACTTGACAACATCAGAGGCGCAGCAATTCTTCGAGACTTCCTCAAATTTTGAACGTGACAACGGCAAAAACGAAGCTATTCTGCGAGACCTCAATTTTTCAAGTTGACAACATCAAAAACGAAGCAATTCTGTGAGACTTCCCTCAAAAATGGAAACTTGAGTGCAGGGCTGACGGCCTCGTGCCATTGCGTTTTGCGATTTTTTCCACTCCATCTGTGTAAAGCGCTGCGCCTGCCACGAAAAAGTGATGCCAGGTCATACGAAGTGCTACACCTGTCACGCAAAATCATCTCAGCAAACCTGAAGATTTGATGCTCCAAAATGCAACTCCTCTCAGGAAATCAGCGCCCTGACCTAACATCTCTTTCGTATCGCGCCTGCCACGCGAAATGCATCTTTCCAGATCCTCTTCAAATGTCCCACGCCTGCGATCGTTTTTGGAAATGCTACAAAACCCTCACGGTTTGATCACTTTTGGCAAGGTGCAGAATCCCTTGCGCCTGCAACGCAAAACCACATCTGAACGTCGAAAAGTGGTCCGAGACCGTCAGTTTTTTACACTTTTCGCTTCCACATGTGCTTCGCGCCACAACGGGATGCGCACGGCGTGCACTTTTTCGACATGTCAACTTCCGAAAGTGCTCCGAGAACTGGTGTGTTTGGTACACTTTGACTTCGAAATGTGCTTCTTCACTCACAACGGCGCGCGCTTTTTCGACATCTCAACTTCCAAAAGTGGTCCGAGCATGAGGTGTTTTGTACAGTTTGACTTGGAAATAAGTTTCGCGCCACAACGGCATGCAGTTTTTCATCTCTCATCTCCGCAGATGGCTCTACCGCTTTAGCGAGCCTACTTTTCCACCCTCCGGAGCCAGATTGGAAAAACAGTGATTCGCGACAGTTCTACCTTTTCGCACACCTGCATCTTCTTTCTTCTGACTCTTTCTCTTCTCTTTCTCATCTCTTCTCTTCTCTGACTCTTCCCGCCGCTGCTTTTTCATCTGTCCATATTGTCGGAGGGTTGACTTCTAAACTTCTTCGACAATCTATTGGCATCTATTGGCATCTATTCTATTGGCAATCTATTTGGGGGTTTGGAACGTGCTTGGCACTCTGATCAAAGAATCTTCTGCAGCATACAGTGAAGAGCAGTGAAGAGCAGTGAAGAGCGAGTGGTGCGTCGCTCTGCTACATTAAGTGAGACGCACTCAGAGATGCAATGAATTGAATTGAGGTATTCTTTGTGTATGTCGAGTTTCATCTATCCAGTTGTGGTGGCATGGACGTGGGGCGGTGGTTGGCTCTCTGAGTTCCTGAAGGTGGGTTTCACTGACCTCGCAGGTGCCTTTGTCAAACTATTGGAACGTAGTTGCAGCAGCTGCAGCAGTTGCAGCATGTTCCCAGCAGTGACAGTCAGATGTTGGGTTCCGGGTCTTGGAGTGGTGTGTCGTTTTTGGTCAAACCCAAAAACCAGAACGAAACCGCAACGCTGGAAACCTGGAACCTGCTGTTGGGTTGCCAAGCTGGGCTAGTTGCATCTTGGTGTACTTGTTGCATCTTGTTGTAATTTCTGTGCGTGAACAAGCATTCTGACGTTGAGACTTCTTAAGATCTTAGTGTGATTATGTGGTACGGTATTTGTGTTATATATTTGTATTTATTTGTGTTGTTGTATTTGATTTGCCAGGCATGGGCATGGTTTTTGCATCATGCCATGAAGCGAGATGTATTGAGATGTCCAAGGTAGTGGGGTCGTACATCTCACTGGTGGAATCTCTGGTTTGGTTGGTGCCATTATTGTGAGACCACGAGCTGGGCGCTTTCAGGGAAATGCTGTCAGCTTCGAGGCTCACAATCTTCCTTTGGCTGTCTCTCGTCCCAAACTTTTGTCACTTTCTGCCAAAACATTGTTATTTCTCAATAAGAAAAGGATAGAAAAGGTCTCTTTGGCACAAAAGCCTGTAGCTGCAAAGTGGCTGCAAAGCGCAATCTTTAATGATGTACTGACTCCACAGCTCTAAGTCTAAATCAAAGAGAGACACGTATATATATATATGTAAAATAAATAAATAAATAAATAGATAAATAAATAAATAAATAAATCAATCAATCAATCAATCAATAAATAAATAAATAAATAAATATAAATAGATAAATAAATAAATAAATATAAATAGATAAATAAATAAATAAATACATAAATAAATATACACACAGATACACCGGGGTAAAAATAGCAGGCGCCGTATTCTGAATTCAGGGGGACTTAATAGATGGCACGGCACCGCTATTTTGACAGGAATCTGAGGAAAAAACACAATTTTGACAGTGTGAAAGTAGATGGCGCACCAAAGTGAGTTGCGCCATCTAAGGATGCCATGTTCTATCCAAATGTGCAATGAATTTTGCTGAGATTTAATGAGATTTGTGGGGTAGATTCTGCGCCATCCATGGTTGAAACGCTCTTTTCTTTCAGCTGGACATCCTGCACCAGCTGCACAGCATGCAATGCAGATCCTTGTGCTAGTTACAGTACCTCTAAGTAAGATGCCAAGACCCACAAATTCTTTGATATGTGATTTTAAGCTTTCAAAGCTTTCTGGGAAGAGCGGTGGTTTAAACAGATTTCTGATTCGTACATTGCTGATTTTCTGGGTTTGTTAATGTGCCCAAATCTACTTTTCATTCGATTCGGATGAACATGTGCATGGATTTTGTTGGAGAAACCGCTCACATGAATACGCCAGTGACATGTGAGTTGCGCCATCTATGTGGCTGTAATATGGGAGGTTGCTGGAGTTGCGCCATCTATGGCAGTTGCAAACATGATCAAACTGCGAGCACCCGGTTGCGATAATTCCACAGATTCAACATGTTCGACCGAATCCTAAATATGTATTCGCCGTTTTGTGGTGCAAAATGGCTGGCACATGTCGAAGCTATCTTAATGCGCGCTGCTATCTTAATGCGCGCTGCGCCATCTACCGAACTCCTTGGGGGGGTGGCCCGGATACATGGCGCAACTCAGAATACCGCGCCTGGTATTCTCACCCCGGAGTAACATGGATATTTTTCTATGTGTTTACATGTATGTACATATGTCTATAATTCATCCGAATGCGGACTGTTTTTTGTAGCTCATCGAGGTCCTTGGAACCCTCTTTTTATGGGTTGGTTGGTTTGGCTTCAACGCTGGCTCTGTCGGTGCTATGCGCAATGGCTGCCTTGCTGCGCTATGGGGGATTGGTATGGATTGGTTGCCAGAGAGCTGCATGTGGAATAGAGAAGTCGTGAACGGTCGTGAATGGTCGTGAATGGTCATTGACAGCTATAAATCAATGGTCTCCAACAAGAGCGGAAGTGAATAATTACCTACCCCTTGTGGGCTTCGTCCCAAGAATGCTCTGAAGACGTTGGGAACATCTTGTGACGAGCCTGCACCCAGGGTCCAAAAAATCAACTGAATGCATTTCCATTTCAGAGCTATCCTGCTTGTGATTGAGTCGCATTGTCGAACTTCGACCTCGCCAAGAAAGACAGATGATGATGCTTATGACAGATTCAATATCATGTAGCTGTTCGATTGATTGATTTGGCCTGTCTCTTTGGGAAGAATTTTCAGCATGGCAATTTATGTGCTGGCCACGTCTGGTCCTTGAGGCTTGGAAGCATCCTTAGCAGCACACATCGCTATGAACACAGTGTTGTCAGGAGCAACAGGCACTGCCAGAACTAGGGTGGTTTTGCGGGGTGGAATGGCATGGTTCTCAAGATCCTCATACCCCCTGGTGTCATTCCACTTTGTTGTGCTGTCAGTTCACAGTTGAATAGTTGTGTTGGTGTTGTTGTTGTTGTTGTGGTGGTTGTGGTGGTTGTGGGTGTGGCTGTCGCTGTCGCTGTCGCCGCGGTGGTGCGGGGGTGGTAGTCAGTGCATCCGTGTCACAGTCAGTCACGGTCACCGACATGGCAGGCAGTCTCTTAACTCCACACAGACACGGGTGCCTTTTGAGGCATACGATGTTGTTGGGTGTGTTCAGCCCCCTTTAGGGCCAATTTTTGTCTGTTTGTTTGTTTATTTGTTTGTTCTTGTGCCTGTTTGTTTGCTTTCCACTTCGAGTTCTCCTCTTCATTGATAGTCATTCATAATTGTATGACTGGTTCTTTGTTTCTTGGTTGGGGGAGTTGTCGATTTGTTGCCAGTGGAGATGCACGAGCCTTAAAACCTTGGATGGGCAGTGTCACAGTGCAAACCTTCTGCCCCAGTGTTCCCACAGGATGTGTGCACCCTCCTATCAATTGCCACACATCACACATTTGCATCACCTGGTGGAACTTTGCAAAAACCTCTGTCATGTGCAATGTCAACCCGGATGAATAAACGCACGGGTTGTTTGATTGAGGGGAATGATCTTTCATAGTCCTGTATCATGATCTCTTCTCACGATGACCCACCCAAGTCATCAGAAAATGTCCAATCCTGAGTTGACATGAGGCGGCCTTACTGTCATGCTTCTCAGATGGATAGCAGTGAGAAAGTTTCTTCAGCTGCAATAATAGTACTGGTTGGTGCCCGATTGATTGAAATGCTTCAGACTTGGTTTTGGGAACCCCCGAATGAATGGTCTTAGTCTTGGTGTGCACCTGGTAAGATGGGATTGGTCCAGGTTGGAATGCTGCCCGGAAGGTTGCTTGAACCCAAAGCCTTTGCCGCTGAAAAGAAAACTTGTGGAGTTGGAGACTTCTCTATTTGAAACACGTAGGTGAAAGTAAGCCATGCAATTGCTGCCAGTCAAACACCTGCATTTGGTACCAATGCCAGCCCTGCCAGAATTGTTTCCCATTCAGGTATGACGTTGGAGGACTCTGCAATGGGATACTGGCGGGGGTCGTGTCCATCACTGCAGGATGCTCAAACATAACCAATCTCTCCGCGATCGGAGTAGCCGTGGCACGGCTTGTGCATAGTTTTTTTTTTTGCTTTCTCGTGTTCCTGTTCGTGCAAACAGATCTGTACCACCAGAGGGTAAAAAACAATGTGTTTGCACATATGTGGGTGCACATTGATGGGCACAGCAGTAATCTGAATTCCTCGATCGTTATTCAAGAGATTTTCGGTCCATGTCAAATTGCGCGTTGCGGCCTCTATCAGAATCGAACTGACCATCTGGATTTCATTGTAGCTTCATATTATGGTGGGAGGGATGCTATGACACATCTATATTTCCACATATTTCCCCACCCTTTTCTTCGAAACCACAGGGACCCCTGGTCTCAACATGCCTGAATGCTGGCTACTTTGGAAAGACATGAAGGGGAAATGGAGGGTACAGTGCAAGAGCAGACCTGAACCGTGGAGAGGCGTTGAGTATCTAAGGGTCCCTATGTACAGACAGAATAAGTCAAGGATATGAATTGGACTTTTTTTTTTGTCGTGCGGGGCTTGCAGCTGTCAGATTGACCAGAGGCCGTTGGTGGGTTGCTCTATCAGCTAGCAGCAAACTTGTTGCAGCGACTTCACATCGATGATCCTGTCAATGCATTTCCTGAACCTTTGCTGAACAATTTCGCTTTGACTCCTGCTGAATGGGTATGCGAATTGGCAGATATTGATGCCGATACTGATGCGGCGGGCCATGCGGCGGGCCATGCGGCTGCTGCTGCTGCTGCTGCTGCGGCTGCTGTGGCTGCTGCTGCTGATGATGATGATGCTGCTGCTGTTGATGCTGCTGCTACTGCTGGTGGTGGTGGTCGTGGTGCTGAAAAGGAAGAATACATCTGCGGATGATGGCGATGATGGTGATTGAACATTAATAGCGGACAGAGGAATTTACAGCGTGTGATTACCAGAGTTGATGGCATCAATGTTAGCAAAGAAGGTGATTGATACCACAGATCCGCAGAACTTATCCATTTGAAAACAGGTAATAAAAGATCGTCACCAAATGTATGGTGGAACCGGTTGTCCGCTGCAGACATGTTATTTTGGTTTCATTTCAATATTTTCAATGCTCTGTTTTAAGCATAAGATGCGAACTGTGCGGCTTACAGGATCCATCACGATCCGTTGCAAGCGTTGCAAGCTCTCTGAGACTCTCTGAGGTACACGGTGTATGTGGCTTGTGGGGCTGTCTCGCTGCTGTTCTTTGCGACTGGGGTGGTTTTGATCGCTTCCATGGAATGAACGGCTGGGAATGCTTTCGTGTAAGCTCTCCAGACACCACAGATCGCAGCTGCTTTGGCCCGGAAGAAAAGGGGTTGGCTCTCTTGGCGACTTAGCTGCACAGAGAAAGGTGAAATCGATGGATTTGATATACGTCTCGAGCTGGAACAAAATGCCCAAAAGCATCAGTGAATTTGTTGGCAGAACATCGAGGCTCCAGACTAAGAGCCTTCAGTACATTGTCTCTGGTTGCAGAGGTACTCAATAGTGTGACTCAGTGTGACTTTGGGTGACCAAACTGTGTAGGTTTGGCTCATTTTCATGGTCTGCGTCATTTTGTGGGCAGGAGGCTCCTTGGTCGAGCAAAGCGGCCAAATCCATGCACTTGTTGTGGGGGAGAGGGACTGAGACACTACCTTTTTGGAGTTCTTTTTTTGTACAACCAGAGCAATGGACTCCGGATATGTTTTAATCAGTTTTCTTTCAAAGTGGAATCTAGACCTCCAAGTTTCAAATCCATGAGAGCCCAAGGACCCAGAGTTCATCAACTTCCCAAACCACATCAAACTGAACAAAACCAAAGTGACATCATACATATATATATATTTTTTGAATAATATATATATAATATTATATATGATATACGTATAATACACACATATATATATATCATATATGTATAATATATATATATCGCGATGTATACATAATATTAATATAATATGGGTATACATACAATATATATATGCAACTGTGGATCAGAGTTTTCTGAGGATCCAGTGTTGGTTATGTCCATGTTTTGTCTCCACAAAGAATATCAGGAAGCAGTTTACCTTGTTACTCTTTCTTCGAAATTGCAATGCTTGAATCTCCGAGGCAATGAGTCTCTTGTTTCTCAGTCAGCGTCAGTACTCCAAAGTGTTTCGGACCTCTGTAGACTATGATCTAGGAGAGACTTGTGGCGGTGCCGAGACTCTCATGGCACATGGCATTCTGAAAACTATAGCCCTCCTGTCAGATCCTGTCAGCTTCTGTCAGTTCCAGTGTCACATTCCCTGCTTTGAGCTTACGTGGCTGATGTGGCTTACGCGGCTGCTGTGGCTCCCGTGTCCCATGGCTCAGGACTCTCTTTCATTTTGTTCCAGAGCGCGCAGCTCTTGGGACTCCTACGAGTAGATCATGAGGCTGACGAAAAAGGCATTGATGCAATAGAGCATGCTCAGATCCTCGGCCCCCTCAGTCCCCTTGGTCATGGTTTAACATTGTTTTATCACATTGTTTGATATTGTCACGCCCAGGATGAACTCCATGTTCAAAAATATTCAGGCAAAGTCTACATGTCCATTTACCGTGTTCACTTGAGTGTGCACATTGGTCATTCTCGCGGTCTTGGCAATGGCTCATCCCTGAAAGTTTTGCTTAAACACATTCAACATGTTTTGCTTCCCACAGCATCAACTTCAAGCTCTTTTACGTGTTGATATAGTCATGTTGTACCTATGCATGTTAACGAAGCATGTACACATTTTCACAAGTTGACTTTTGGCGTTTGTGAGCTTCAGTGTGTCACTGCCCACAATCTTTCTGCATGCACACATTGCAACCTCAAGAATTACAGGGAGATCCTTTTTAAGAAGCGTTTCAATCAGCTTTTTCCTGTCTTTCCGAAGTAGTTCCTGCACACCAAACCTTTCAACGAAGAGCATATATATATATATCACCTGTTTCTCTGCCACCGAGGAATCGGGCATACAACTTTTCAGAGCAACAGGGTGGCGGCCACAGTTTACAGGGTGCACATGAGGATATTCAAGCTGAAGAATATGAATAATTTTAGGAGTTCAAAAAGGCTGACCTTGAAGAAAACACCGAGACTGTAGGGTAAACTAGTCATGCGACCTGACTCAACATACTTGCAGTTTGATATACTAGGATGCAGTTTCATCCCGTATATCCCGGAAACAGACTGTAGAAGGTGCAGTGGCGTGCATTTTGCCTCAAGGAGGACTGGAACTTCCTGGAACCAACAGAAACTTCATGACACTTCAGACATAGCAGAGAGCCCTTCATAACATTGGCCTCAAGCCTCCACGGACGTGGACAGGATACATCAGGATACTAGCTGCTTACTAGATGTTGAATTGGGGTATTGTATTTCTAAGTTGCTTTTGGCGACTTGAAAATAACTGTTCCTAGACATCTGACATTCGTGAGTCTTGCATCTTGGTGCTTTGCTGCTCGACATTCAGACTTCCTCTTGACACAGTTGCGGCTAAACCTTTCCATCGAAGCCAATCTTCAATCGGATTTTCCTATCTGACACCTGATTTCTTGCTTCACATGAAATGATGCAGTGGCGTGCCTGGCGTGCTGTTCCAGACGCAAAGCAGTTTGTTCCGCATGCTGAGGCCCAAATTCCTGGCGAGTTTTGTGGTTTCAATGAGCCAAGTCTTTTAGTGGAGCCAAACTCTGGGACTTGGTCTCAAGTCATCCTTGCAAAGGACATCAGAAGACATTTTTTTTCATGTGTATTTATTTCATCATTTTTCATCATATTTCATCTTTTAATCCATGAGACGCCATGAAGAGTTAATAGTTGAAGATAGTGCTGAGTTGGTTTGCCCGATCAGCCAAGCCCTATTGCTCTCTAGAGGTTTTGTGGAGGCTTTGCAGTTTCAACACCAGAGGGTCATGGTAAGTTGTAAAATTTGTACGCCCTGCTGGCACTTTCCAAAGAAAGTTCACCCAAGGTGAACATTTGGAGCGACTGCTGCATACTTTCTCACATGTCATGTCCTTGAAATGATGAAAGAGAACATGTTGAAGGAACTACTGAGGTTTTGTGGACCAGCGGCGCTCCAAGAATCGTAGCAGCTTTTATTTTCAGATCTCTGACAGCATGGTCATGCCAGAATGCTCTGGGTTGCTCTGGGTAAGATACACTCCTGATGGATGCTGGGCAGTGCTGGCTGGAACGAAATCTTGCCAACTGACATCAACTGGAGCATCAATGACTATACAGACCCCTGCACCATATTTCAAGTTGCATGCTCCTTTTATTTTTTGTTGTAAATCACCGAAGCACATCAAAATGTCAAGCGAGCGTAGCAGATGGTAGATTTAAACATTTTGCTTTAAAGCTCTTTCCGAAACAAGCCCCTTATACCAAGTATGCAAGCACACTGAGACTTCTTGTGCCAAGTTTCTTCAAAGGAGACAAAGTCAGCTCGAAGGGTTTGTTTGTCACAAGAATCCAGTCTCGCAGATGCTCAACCAGCACAAGTAGCACAAGCAGCACAACGGCTGATTTCGTGCCGTACGTGACCATATCAGAAGTGGTCATGCGGCAATTGACCCGGCGCAACCAACCTGGGTTTGAAAAGGAGCGATGGCACTGGCTTTGCCTTTCCCTTGAACCGAAGGAGCCTGATGCAAGTGGCTCTGAAACACACATTGCTTGCAAATCTCAAACACTGTCTGCCTTTGCAACATTCTTATGTCACTTACATTCTAAAGTGGGTGTCATCAAAAGTCTTATCGAAAAGAGACACAGAACCTCAAGCCGATCGATTTTGCATCAGAAGTATTGTTCAGAAGTAAGACAGACAGACAGCCAGCCAGCCAGCCAGGCAGCCAGGCAGGCAGGCAGGCAGGCAGACAGACAGATAGACACACACACACACACACTTTGAAATGACACAACTTTTCTTGACACCGCTTTGAACTTTCTGCTGACATGCAAGAACATGCCCCAGCACTGTTTCTCGCTTGAATCAGAATGAATAGATTGTAGCAGCAGAAGCTGAGTGATTCGATTCGTGTGTACCTCTAACATGCGCTTGGAGTTGGAGTCTCTCGCATGCCCAGTGGGGAAAAATCGACTTGTATCCGTGAGTTTGCACAGCAAGGCCATGACTGAGAGACAAACATAAGTTGGTGAAGCGGTAGAGGAGAAGGAATTGATATGTTATTGCTTGGGTGGATCAACGCACCCCATATGCTATGACACTATTCAGTACTAAGAAAGCCCTATTCCACACGACATACATAGAACATCATAGAACATAAGTCTATGCAAAAACATATGCACCAACAGAATTGGATGGCGATGTCAAATCCTTCGCAGCTCCATCTTGTGGTGCTCCCAGGTGTTTTCTTTTGAAAGACAGGCACGATGTATGTTTGGCAGTCAGACCCACATGCGAAGCTGCGAAGCAGTGTTTGATGCGTGAGTAAGCGTCACGTGGCGACTTGATTAAAAACAATGTTTGCAAGATTTTAAGATAAGATCGAATTTCCATGCAGCATCCGGTCACACCTATTTGTTTATTGTCAGTGTTGTTACGATGTGCATGTCTTTATTAGGATATATTCCATGTTTCCTGACTCTTGTTTGGCGTGCATCAATGAGCAACATGTAGGACATGCAAGTGAGAAAGTATAACATGCAAGTGAGAAAGTATATTCCTGTATGCAAAGAGGAGAAAACGTCCTTTTCGACCTTTGCAAAGACGGTTTCGAAAACGACCCGTGAAATCTGTGGTGTTGAGTCGTCACGCGCAGGATGGTTTATGTACGGTGTAAAGCACGTTTTGAAAAAAATCACATTGACAATGACAACAGCATTTTTGAAATTCCGCTGAAGGGACATTCACGTGCTGAGCTTGTATGTATAGAACGGCGTGTAGAAAGTGTATCGAGATATCACGAACTTATGGCAGCATTCAATGTGTTCCTTGTAATGATGGTCTCGCTGGCCATTTGAGCAGCTTCAAAACCCCCAGGAAAGGATTTTTGCAAATTGCTAACTCTGCTGCTTTCGCGACAGTCGAAAAGCAGGCCGCGAAAGGATCGCGAAGTCATTTGCCGCGAGAGCTCACCGAAAGCGAAACCCCCAGCGAAACGAGTCGCTGCGAAAGCTCTGCGAAAGCTGAAAAGAAAGCAGCTCGCGAAAGCCAAAACGCAGGCCGCGAAAGAGGCGCGAAAGTAGCTGCGAAAGAAGACACTTGAGAGTTAACAGGAAAGTCCTGAGGGTTTTTGAAACTGCTCATTTGCAGTGTGTTCATTTGGTAAGCTGACCCCTTCCGATTTGTGGAGCAAGCACAGCAAAAAAACTTGTAGGACACAATACACGAAAGCACTGGACACCGAGTGACACTACACACTGCAATATGCAAGGGCACACTCGGGACTCGTTTCCCAGCCCAATTTCTTGGCGCTGAAAGGTTGCTGAAAGGTTGGCAAATTGCAGTGTTCTTTCAGAGTTGGAATCGTTGCAACAACACATCGCTGGTCATCTAGGTCTGTGGGCAACGAAGGAGTGCCCTGGTGAGAGCGAAAGCGTTGCGCTTGCAGCTTGCCGAGAAGGTGCGACATGATGTCGATCAGAAACCGAGAAATCGATGAGTAAATCATGATGGATGTCGAACCAAAAACTTCCTGTGAGGTATTCTTGAAACAAACGGTGTAAAACATGCAACTTGTGTATTTCTTCTTCCTAAGGATGATCCGCACATCATCCTTTTTTGTGCTTTACCGAGACAGTTGTCATCGAACTTGAGATTCGCCATGATTCCAGCGGTTTTTGCACCCGTTTCCAAGCTTTCAGAACATGAGGCCAAGCAGATCCGGGATGTTTCTGAGCAAGAGGAAGCGGAGGTGCACCTGAGTTCTTGACTTTGTTTGTGCATATTGAATAGATTTGAATAGCATTGCTCAGTTCCATACATGATAAACACATGCGGAATCACGACTTGATTTCCACCAGTCACGACTTGATTTCAACCAGTCACGACTCGATTCTACCAGTCACCACTGCAGCTACTATTGACAGATACAGATTACAGATCCTTCAAAAGAAGATTTTGCAGTTCGTGAATGAAGAATTGACTACATCACAAGGTTTAAATAGCTTATTTAGCCTCACCGTGACCAGATGCGGGCCAAGCTCAGCCGGTTCTGGGTTTGTCTACACCTGAATCCTACGAAATCTACGGAGCCTAGCTGAGCCTAGTGGTCGCCCTATGCCCTGGGTTTGCAGGCGGAGCAACGAGTGAAGCTGTTGCAGTCTGGGCGCCAGCGAGCCCAGGAGAGGCCGGAGTAAGGCAAGGGGGAAAAAAACAGGACGAACAAAGAAATAAGGAGAATAGATTTGAATACAATAGCGGACCAGCAGTTAGAATATGGGAAAATCAAACTTCCGTGTTTAACGCGAGTCCAGGATATATCTGTTTTCATATGTTGTTGAGTTGCGTTAATTCACACATAGAATTTAAAAAATAAAAAGACCCCTACACTTAGAATATTTTGGATGTTCATGTATAGTATGATATTACATGAAAACCACACAAATCGTGTGTTTCACAGCCGTTTTCGAGGCGTCTCAAAACCCTGGACACAACTGTTGAATTTGTGCCTAAAACAACCACATTGGGTTCGTACATAATTAGTCACTTTGTACATAAAGCTAACCACCCCGGGCTCATTTATGTTAAAAATTAACATAAATCCATATTCTAAAACTTTAATCTTTTTTTTAAAAAAAAATTCTAAGTGCCTGTCCGACATAGTAGATGGATTTAATTTAAGATGATTTAATTATGTAACTCCAACTAATTCCAACTAGAACACATTAGTAATTATAATCTACAGTGAACCTTCGAAAAATTTTTGGAGCAAACAAGTTGGAATAATTGATTCCCTCTTGAATAAGCACTAGAGCGAACACATGTTTATGTTTAAAGGTTCGTCAGAGACATTCTTTTCTCATCTTCTCTCTGGTTTGGCGGTTGATTGTTTGTCCACTGGTGGTTCACAGCCAAAAACACATCCAAGATGGCAGAGGACACAGCTGGACGGGAAACTTCCATAAACTTCCTGTCTATGAGAATCCAGGATGCTTCATGGATCTTAATGGGCCCAACGAAAGTGAAACCACACGATGTTCCTTTTCAGTAGTCGCAGGGGCAGCAATGGATAGAAATGGTTTTTGCTTGACTTCATTGGTTTGCATGTCTGGCGGGGGTTTGTTGTGTAGCTTTCACTTGCTTGAGGCTTGCGGTCCAGGTTGCGAATCCCATGCCATGAGCGGTGTTTTCAGAGCATGTGTCATTAAGATCCCGTTCAAGATCCGGCAGCATACGCGTGATTGATTCCAATGGTATTTCAATCCAGGAATATCTAGGAACTACATCTAATAAGTGCACACTCTGGCAATGGGACTGAGTTACGTAGCTTTCACCATCTTACAGCTAGATGTTCAAAGTCTGGTGGATCACAGTGAGGAGCGATCAAAAGCTCTGAAAGCTGGGTTGTCAGAGGTGACTCAGGAGGCCGGGGTAGTCGCTGGGCAGTCGCTGAGCAGTCCCTGGGCAGTCCCTGGGCAGTCGCTAGGGGAAGAAAAACTTTGCTTCAACAAATTGAACGACCGGACGTTGCGCTGTCAAGAGCTGGCAACTGCAACAATTTTTGCATTGTGCTTCCGCTATTCCAGTCATCTAGTTGGTTCTCCCCGGTCTTCGTTTATCATTTCATGAGATGACATTTGCATTGCAAGTGAATCTGCCTTGTAATTTTCTTTTGCATGCGATTCTGTTTCATTTTCCTTTAGTGCATTAAAAACCCCTAGTCATTCCTTCAACCCCTGGAGTTGGTGTCGTGTGCGTCCCTGGCCAATTGCTATCATTGTCCAAATTGGTTCCTGCGGAAGGCGATTCCATTTGTCTCCGCTGAATTTGGGATTGAACAAATTGTCTCTTCATGAGTCTTCCATTGCCTTTGTGTCTCCAAGCGTTTGTGGGTCGGCTGCTTTCATTCCACAAACCGCTTACTCTTGAGCTTCCCAGTAGTTACAATATCTTGACATATTTTGAATGTGCCTCAATAGGATGGTTAAGCATATCTGTGGGATGTTGGTTTGAGTCGGTCCATTCAATGAGGGCCCACCGTGTCTCCCGCTGTGTCTCCCGCTGTGTCTCCCGCTGTGTCTCTGACTTCGTCCGGTCTCCCAGCTTCTGCTGCACTTTGCCCCCCTTGCCTCCCACAGTGTCACCCACTTTGTCTCGCACTTTGCTCCCAATTTGTCTCCCAGCTTGTGGCCACCTAGTCTCCCAGCTTGTCTCCCAGCACTTCTCACCTTGAATTTGGAATCCTCACTGCTGTTGGGTTGCAAAGCTAGTGGCTAAGGAGTTCGGTGCGAAAAAGTGCATTTTTGATTCAATGTTTGGTTCGTTTTTGGAGTCATACGTACGACGTAACAGAAAATAGTGTTGTGCAGCCTTTTTCGTCTGTTCGCGTGCACGCGCTATTTTTGGACATGTGAGAAGAGTGAAAACGCTACAGATTATGGTGCCACGGAAGATTGAACAAAACACTGAATACCAGTCTTTTGCAATGGTGTGGTCAATTGTTATGCAGCTGGAAAACAAACACACTTTAAATACAGATCTTTTGCTGCTCTCAGCTACGTTTCTTTTTCGTTTTTGCCTGTCGATCTTTGGCTATTTTTGGGGGATCATCAGCAGGAGGACATGCGGTGTCTTTCAGTGCTTTTTTGGTCTGTTAGCAAGGTAATCTTGGACATGCGAAAAGGTGCTAGGGTCTTTTTTTGAGCAGGTGGCACGAACCACCATAAATGCGATTATTTTATGCAAATGCAAGAAACAGTTTGAACATGTGGTGTTTGTATAGGAGAGTATAGGAGAGCTTTTGCCCCTCAAAAATGCCCTACATGTTTTCCACAGCAAATCATGATTGTTTCTTGTTTGCAAGGTTTGTTCGGACTGCGCATGACTGCGCATCCTTTTTTTCCCATGAGTTCCCCCCAAGAAAACCAGGAGGAGTCAGGAAAAAGAGGTTATGCGGAGAGGATGGAAACAAACAAGCCTTTGCTTCCACCAGTTCCAGGGTTGTCTGTCTGCAAGGTCATTTTGGAAGCTTGAAAAGGCGGTAAATGTCGGAAAATGTGGTATTGCGTTTGTTTCAGTAGCTTCAACACGAGGGGTGTAAGTAAGGGAAGTTCTGTTTCTGAACAGTCTGCAAATATTTTGTATAGTATCAATGATGTTCTTGGTGGTTTTGGTTTACTGCAAAAACGAGCCGAAGCTCACAAAGTGATTCTTAGGGGGTCGTCTTTGCGACGCTGGTGTTTTTTTTTGGTTGTTTGATAGTTAGAAATACGGGGGAGTCAGGAACATGAGTTTACGTGCGAAGATAGAAGCAAATGATCCAGGGCTGGCTGTTGTCCCCCTTCTTGCGTTGACCTTACTATTGATCGTTTTAGATTCATGGTTTGCTTTATTCGTCTATCCGGTCGGTTGTGCAGTTTCTTTGTTTGTGCCAGGTCGAAAGCCTTCGCTGGAGGATAGGTGCACTGCAGAGGCACCGGGATTCTGTCAGGACTTGTGATGAAGAGTTCTTCACATTCGAGAAATAGCAGAACAGCATAGAACAGCTGAGTTCTGGATTGCTTTTTCCCGAACTGAGAAAGCAGGTAAGCACAAGCTAGATTGGCTGCCGTCATTCCATAAGAGCGCTCTTTTTCTGGGTGCCCGATTGAACAATACCACCTCAGATGGAATAGCGAGACCCAACCTCCAGACCTTTTACATCCTTTTACATCCTTTTACTCTATAATTTATAATTTACAGACATCTTTTGCCGTTTGAAAAGTTTGATATTGGGGGAACAACCTTGTGGGTGAGGCTCTTAGACCGCCAAGAGGCTGAGACCCAAGGTGCGAGAGAGCCCAAGACGTTGAAACCAGACAGCGCCACGAAATTGTAACAGGGACACCTTCCATAGCCACGGACCTGGCACTTTATACAAAACATTGCAAAGCTTCATCGGCTATCGTAGCTGTATTCGAGCTGGAAGCTGAAAGCGAACAAGTTTATGATGCACTTAGAGTCGAGGATGTCGAGGTAGCACCCAATGCACCCAACCTTGCCGCCATTGCCTGGCAAATCCAGTGACTTGACTTGATGTCACTCGTTCCTCCCAAGTCACTGGAGGCGAGTTGCGTGAAAGTGAAGAGGCCGCTCTTGCCTCTAGACAAGCTCTTCACAACAAGCGTTCGTCGGTCTTGCTTCAGTGAAACCCTACTTTCTTCAAGTGTGTGTCTGCAGTCGCTGAACTAAGCTTCGGATCACAACTTTATTAGTCAGAAAAATGTGATATCGCATGTTTTGCCTGACGTAATCTTGTTTTGATCACAAACAGCTTCTGTCATTGCATTCATTCGGATCCAGAATTCAGAAACTCAGAAGCAATGTGGAAATCTGGAGACGTGGACTTTCGTGTGCAGTTGCTGCAGCTCCAGCAGAAGCGCCTTGCAGTGGAGGAGAAATGCAGGAGATGATCTCACTCTATCATCAGACATATTAGACTCTATCTCCGTTCCGATCTCTCCGTTGTGCAAAGTGATGTCATTTAAGACCCGACTATTGGATGCTCGTGGAAGGTTTTCTCGACTCGAGTGATCCTTTTAGTTTGAGAATGTTACAGAGTATTTGAAAATTGAATGGTTAGTTAAGTTAGTGGCCCTAAGTGGCCTAAGTGGTGGCTAGTGACTTGGCCAAGAGGAAGTACAACGAAGCCAATGAGGCGCAGAGGGTTGGATTGCGTGGTGCCAACTGCACAAGCCATAAGCATCGCTTTGCACCAACGCATGATGGATCTTCTCTATGGAGAGGGACATTCCTCATAGGGACACTCCTGGAACATTCCTTTTTATTCATTTTAATTCGAAATATTTCAATTTCATTCCAAATATATAATGCAATTTCATTCGAAATAACATGTTTTTTTGAGTTTTTTTTCAAATGATGATTTCAAGTTTTTTTTTTTAATTTCGATTTGTTTTTGTTTTTGAAATGTTCTTTTTGTTTTTTCTTGTTTTTTTTTAAAAATATGTATTTTTTTTTTTCAGTTTTTTTTTTTCCGTTTTTTTTATTTTTCTTTTTTTTTGAT